GAATTGGCAGAAATTGCAATTTGAGAGAAATCACGCGTACTTCCGGAAATATGTAGAAAATTTATGCAGAACGAAGGTAATGGTGAGTGCTGAGCTTTGGCGGCTTGGAAAGTTGTCTCTAAGAAATAACAAGTGGAGTTTATGTATATATGACGACAAGTTGATGACAAGAGTTGTGGCGACGACAACCGGCGACAACAGCCGTGTGTGTGCGAGAAGAGGCTGTGGGGGGCATCAGCCAGCAGCAGTAGCAGCAGCGGAGGCTCAGCTCGAGTTATTTACCCCGCCCCAGGCAGGCTAGATCCGCATTGATCTGATCGTTGCTGCCCTCGGTCATCCTACGCTGAAATCTGACCAAATTCATCCAAACATGATCGTGTCATTCTGATCTGTGGTGTCTCCACGCTAGCCTTCGGTGCTACGGCGTCGCCAACGGGCGGGAACTGTCCAGATGAATCATCTCACAGTTCCCGATAGTCCGCAGCAACAACGTCTGCCCCGAATGTGGAACGAATTACGCAAGAAGAGCATCAGCGAGTTGAGTCTCGTTTTCGATATGTTCCGCTCGAGCCCGTCCTCCAGCCAGCAGCATCTGCACCCAGATAGGGACAGAGCTTGCCAGTCCACCGGCAATCTGCCCACTTCGCCGAAAGGACGTCGTCGACGACGAATGCAACGCACGTGGAAGGCCCTTTCTGCTGCTAACATTGCTCGACAGTACGTGCTTGGTAAGTTAGCCTTTCACGTGGACTCTCTCCTTACACCTGATTCATTACAAATCATTGCTTTTCGCCTGCATCTTGGTGTAAATGAATCCAGCTTCATTACAAATCTCCTGTTTCCGTTAGGTAAAGCATTGGGGTGGAAGCATCTTTCCACTGACATCAAGCTATTCTATCCATTCTTCTTGTTCTCTTCACCACTGCTGTTCATATTCCTGACTATATAAAGCTTATTAAGTAAGGCTAATTTTCTTTCGTCTTGCACTTCTCCCGTTATTCTGCAGAAACCAAGTGATTTATGAACTTTCTTGCTTTTATATATGCTTATTCCTTATTTTTCCATTTTGTAAAACACAAACCTCTGTTTTGATTGTGTTACTAGTACTAGAATAAAGCAAACTAAGAATGTACATAATTCAACCGATTAGTTTATGTAAGCTGCTTAAAGTCCCAAAAAACCCTGACTACGCTTTTCAAACCAAAATGTGCATTATCTAATATGAACAGGCACCTTTAGATTATCATGTTCTCTTATATTAATGTTTCTTGATATCATGGGACTGAAGCCTACGGACCTTTTTTGGATG